GTGAAATGTGAAAAGTACACATGCAGGATGAAAGGGAATCTGAAACTGTGTACAAGTCTCAAAAACGATAGTTCTGCAGCTGTGTATTTAGGCACCTGAAATGAACCATCACTTTTCTGTCCCCCATCTACAAAAAGAGAGCATTATGATTCTACTTTTAGCAGGAAAGTATTTGAGAGGTTGTCATACAACTTCACCTTGCTTTATAAAATAAATGAGCTATCTAAAAAAAAGTCTACCTGTAGTCTTAAGAATGGCAATCAGATTATTTCACCTTGGCCAATAATGATTTAAAAAAAACAAATCTATTGCTCTCTATGTCCCTTGTACATCAACAGAACATTTTTTTGGCCAGAGTGTTGAGTGTTCTGGGCATAAAGATGCAGTTAAAATAGCTTGTGATTTCAAGACTATATAATGCATTGATGTTTTTTAAATGAGCTTCTGTGAAACATCTTTGCTCATCTACAGTCAAGGACTATTCAAAAATATGTGCCTCTTCTCTTGTGAACACTGCAAATTCCAGTAGTGAACAACCAGTTTTGTAAACATCTGTACATACATGCTTACATTTTGATTAAATATTAGTATTTGAATCTTGGGCTGAAATTTTTTGCAATATCCCCTGTAATCATGGACAACTTATGCCTCTTGAGGCTGAAGGGGCACGGCAACCTCCCACAGGTGGTGGCAGTGTTGGTGGTGGGAGCATGGCGGAAGCAAGTGGGGACCACCCACAGGTGGTTGCACCAACGTTGGCAGCGAGGGTGGGGGGTGGCAAGCGGCGACCACCCACAGATGCCGGTGGCAGAGTCGGCAAGGGGGGGGGGGGGGGGGGGCGGCGCGCCCCCCCCCCCCCCCCCCAATGCATCGCCTATGCCTGTAAGGATATGTGTGGGTCATTGTGCTACCACGTAATAGGAGAGATGTAGAGGGGTTGGCTAAGAAACTTCAAGGGATAGGAGACTTATTCAGTATTGAATACAGCATGCATTCTATGCCAGTTTTTCACTACAGAATGAGACACAAGTAGCGTCCAAGGGTCCTTGGAGCAGTTTTAGATCAGTCACTCTTTTATCAAGTGACCAAAAGCAAGCACATAAAGTGACCAAAAGCAAAACCCACTACCACAAGCCCTGCCCTCTAGCTCCTGAAGTCAATGTCAAAACTATCATTGATTTATATAGGAGAAGTATCAACCCCACTTTGCTTCTTTTGGAGACACTGACAATCACTGTAGATATGCATTAACATGCCAAAGCTGCTCTGTTGTTTAATCATGAATTGATCTCTAGGGTGCATTGAATAGACACTGAGTCTAGCTGCTAGAGGGAGCATTTGGCAGGGTACCATAGCTGTTTTCCTTGTCGGGCTAGATTTTATATTCTGTCAGAATCAATATGAAGCATTAAAATAGGCTATGCACTGCATCTTATTTTAGTTTCCAGAGCAATAGATTTATCTGCCATCAAAAAGAAAACAATAAAGGCAAAAGACAGTAAAAAAAAAATTATGGGCTTATTATTTTATTCCTGAATTGGAAAGTCAGTAGTTTCCATTTTCCCATCCTTGTTTCCCACCCTTGTTTTCATCCTTGTTCTCTCTCTTATCATGTCTCCTTTTCTTTCTCCTCTCCCATCACCTACTTCTCTTTTGGTTCATTTCTTCTCCCCCTTGGTGAAAATAGAATTTTACTTCAATGCTGTCCTGTATTTTTTTTTCATTCCTCAAACTACTGCTGGAACATATGCACTATAAGTAGCTCTTCTGAGATGGAAAATTTGGACAAGTATATTTGTGTAGCTATATACCCACAAGCCACAACCTGCAAAATTATCCACCCTAGTAACAAGTTTCAAGTCTTCCTTCAGAAGATACATGATCTGTATTATGCACAGTACTGGGGGGAAGTAGGAGGTGGAAGGGAGAAAAGGGGGGGTGTAGATTCTGACAGTCTTGTTCTTCTGCACCACAGTTCTATCCATCAAGATACTGAAGAGTTGGTGTAAGGCACGAATTGGGGAATGGACTTGTAGCTCAAATAATGCCCCTTGGTCCATGACACTTTTCTACGAGTTCTGCTGAGAGCGGGGTTCAGCGGGCACGTCTACACATTCATTAATACACTGTAGTTTTTGCACATTAAGTTTAGTACTTGGATAACCAAGTACCAAATCAATGTGAGGTAATTTGCACTACTGCGCAGTAGTGCCAGTGCATCGGTTTTTAGTGATGCTTACTATGCAGTAGCCTAATCCTACTGCACAGTAGAGTATTAGCAGAATTTTTGCCCGGCATGCTACTGTGCAGTATTATTAGGCTACTGAGTAGTTAGCATCTCATGTAGACACAGCCAGTATTTCCTTTTTAGGTTTTAAATCTGCAAGCTGTGTCATGTTAACACTTTTTGCAAGCCCTGTAATCACCCACCCACAGTATGGGCCTAAGTTCTTATGTATTGCAACCTAGTCATCCTATTTGTAGATTTCTACCAATTAAAGTGGAATTGTGATCCAGGTACTCAAGATACTTACATCAGCAGATTCCTTCACTAAGTTGGTGAAACAATGTTAAAATTCCCAACATATTTGCTTATGACTATACCAGAGAGAATATTTTCTAGTGACTACATGGTTACTAGTAACCCTGTGAATAGTTTTGGTGAAAGCCAAAGTTCAGGTATAGTTTTACATTCTAACAGCAGTACTGATGCAAACTTCCTGTGTGCCCTTGAGCCAGTCACCTAACTGCTCTATGCCTCATTTCTCCCTTCTGCAACAAGAGGTATTATAAGGCTTAATTCATTAATACTTATTAAAGAGATATGATGTGCTGCAGAACAAGGCATTATTAGTGAACACAAGAAAGAACTATTTCCTATTGCCTCTTGCCTAGTATGCTTTAATTTCTAAAAGAATACAGCTTTCATAATCCATTTACTGATCCAAAGGCTGTTTAGTTTTGTACAGCTTCAGTAATGACATTTATTTCTGTATGAAATTTTAGGCATCACATGATGAAAAAAGAGCTTTGCCAAGGATTATTCTTCTAACATTACATGCAGAACCAGGTTCAGCACTATCAAATGCACACAGCCTCCATTTAAAGACAAGGTTTAAGTCAGTAGACATGAAATTTGCCCCCTAATTTAGAAGTTAAGTGGTGGAACTTTGAATTTGGAACAGGATGCTCTTTGCAGTGACTAATTTGATGTAACTATTTTAACATCCTTCAGGTTGTAACTGATATCATCAGGAAGTTTGTATTTCCAGTCCTCCATTTATTAAAGGGATGGGAGCCTCACATTTGCATTGCTTGTTCCCTCAATAAAATCTGCTTTGTTTTATCCCATTACAGAGTCATATGTCTGTATCTGCCTCTTATGCTTTCACCAATCATTTATGTTGAAGCAACGGGATTTGTTTCTTTGCTTGTTTTTTTAAATTGAGGTAAGTTAGCCTGCATGGAGCTCCACACTACTTTGAATATCAGGCTGGTTTGTTTAAAGCTAGATCAGGAATTTCTATACTATGTTGTGGACCATAGCATAGACATATGCTAAGCTCAAAGAAAGCATACATAATCCCCGCCCTTAGCATTTGTAGTAGAGTAACTGGAAGGGGGACTAGAGGGGTAGCAGCCCCAGGTGTGACTTGGGGTCGGAGTGTGGAAAAATAATTGCTGCCACTGCTGTTGACTGGCCATGCTGCTGCTTCCAGCAGCTGGCAGCCACTGCTGCCCAGGGCATAGAGCTGCCATGTTACGCCTCTGAACATTTGCCAGTTTCTATAGTGCCCTCCACGTCTAGCTGTCCAAACCAGAGGTTCCACAGTCTATTCTTTAAATGTTCATAGATTCATAGATGTTAGGGTCGGAAGGGACCTCAATAGATCATCGAGTCCAACCCCCTGCATAGGCAGGGAAGAGTGCTGGGTCTAGATGACCCCAGCTAGATGCCTATCTAACCTCCTCTTGAAGACCCCCAGGGTAGGGGAGAGCACCACCTCCCTTGGGAGCCCGTTCCAGACCTTGGCCACTCTAACTGTGAAGAAGTTCTTCCTAATGTCCAGTCTAAATCTGCTCTCTGCTAGCTTATGGCCATTATTTTACATTTATTTGTAGTTCTGTCTAGAGGTAGGCACTGTGTATGCCACAGCAAGATGGAGTAGGATTCTGGTGTAATGTCTCTGGTACCTTCAGCCTTCCAAGACAGCAGACAGGAAATATTGTAGTGTTTTCAGTAATTTTTTTAAACCTATGGTTTTCATGGATTAAATATTAAAACAAAAAATATGATCAGTACAAGACCCCCATTTTATATATTTTTATATTCAGGCTTTTGTATGTTGTCATGTTTCCATTAAGTTTTATAGACAATAGATGTATGTGCTGCAACAAAGTGCTCAGTGGGTGTGTCTACATGTGCACTGCTGGCTTAAATTTACTGCTCAGTAAACAGGAATAGGCTGGCATTTACACTGACTGACTTTAGTCCCAAGTCAATCCACACACACAGTATTACTATGCAGTAAAGCACCTACATCTGTGTTACTGTGCAGTAACTAATCGGACATAAATTTGATACCTGAGTCATGCAGGTATCAAATTTATGCTCAAATTGGCACGAGTTACCATATTTACTGCACAGCATGGATGTGCACATGTGACACGTGCCCGTACTGTGTACTGCATAGTACTTTTGGTTACTGCACAATAAATGCACATGTATAGACATGCCCAGTGTGATGATGGAGCTTTTAGTGGTTGGGTTGGGGAAGTGTACTAGGCAGTTTGCATTTGTGAATTAATATCAACTGGATGTTTCTGCTAAAATGACCAGCAGTTATAGAATTAATATCTTTCAGTACTATTTTATCAGGCTGTCTCCAGATCTAGGAAGGCAAGATAGCATCAGTTCACCTTTCCAAGACTTTCTTCACAGCTATGAAGATACAAACTTTCTCTGCCCCCCCCCCGCCTTTTTTTTTTAATTGTGGGCTTACAATCTATGGGTATAGCGCTATACCATCTGGTAGGCAAAAGGCATGTACCAAAATCTGTGACCACAAAATAGCAGACTACATGGTGCCCTCATCTTGATTATACCTTAAAATTGTTTACTTTTCCAGGCAGTCTTCTTATTACAAAAGCTACATATCTAATGTCCTAATCATCCCTCTTCTGTAACACCTCAGATATATTTGTTGTCTTCTTCATGAAAACAAAAGTCTGTGTGTCATGCATTTTCCATCAGTCTTTTCCTTCGGTTAAGTCATTACTGAATGAATTTCGGAACGAGTTCTTCAGCTGGCAAAAAGAAAAAAACCCACATCATTAAGTAGCATGTTAAATGAACCACCCACATTTAACTTTAAATATTGGGAAGGAGCACCAGGCATAACATTAAATGCTTTACTTCTTTGGTTTCAATACCACCCATATAAATCAGGAGCAATTGGTATAAGAGTAGAATGAAATACATTGACTCCAACAGGGCTTATATGAAGTTTGTACAGAACTTGGCCCTAGCTATTCATTTAAGAGGAGGAATCAGCCTTTAAGATATGGAAATTTTTCTAACTAATCCCTTTTGCCAAGTTTTTTGTAGTCTGGGCAAGGCTTTTTTTTTTGTTCATTCATTTTTCTTGGTGAAACTGCAAGGGAGATCAGTCAAAAAAGGTGATCACTTTCACCATTTCACAAAACCAATAGAAATCCAATTTCCCAAACCTTCCTGTCCATGTAAAATAGTTCAAATAGTTTTGGATGCTACGGCTATTTGGTAATTTCACAGTAAGCCATATCAAAACCTCTTTCTCACCCAATTGCCTTCTTAGTGCTAGATTGGATAAGCCCTACAAATGTCACCTAAATAATGTCTTTAACAAAAGAGAGAACTGGTCTTGCCTGCAGCCTCCAGGTGTTATCGCAGTCAAGAAAATAAAACAATAGTTAGTTTTAACATGTCCGCCATTAGAATACTCAGGTAACTAGAACAAAATGAATTCTCACAATCTGCAGGAAAGTCTTGAAGTCCATTTTTGACTGAGGAGGACCTTTTGTTTCCTTCTTGCTGATGGAGAGCTCCTGTGGATCTGACTCTACTGATTTTGGCTGGGTCACTGTCATGGTAGGCAACCACATCTTGGAGGTTGTTGGCATTGAGGCTGAAGAACTGGATGGGAATGTTTCAATCCTGCTGGAATCCTGTGGAACTACCAATTCTGAGTGCCCAGCACAAGGATGCGTAATGTTAGCAGCATCTGAAACAACTTGGTTATTCTGGGCATTTATTTCTTCCCTCCCGTTGGAGAGTCCAAGCTCTGAAAGCAGTTGGGATTGTTCTTCTAGTAACTGGTCCAGCTGCTGCAGAGAAAAATATAGGGGAAAGCATACTGTAACAATAAAAATAATAAAAGGAAGGAAGCATGGATGCACTTGAGAGTATATGAATTATACCCAGTTTCTTTCTGAGATTTTTCCATGAAAAGAAATATAAACAATTTAGTAACATAAATTGCATTCCCATTGTATGATGACTGACATAGCTACCTTCATAAAATCCAAGTAGAACCCCATGGATGCCATCTTTGGATTACAAGGAATGTATCTTAAAAATTGTGGCCTGGATTCATCACCATGTACCATGCATTTAGCATGACTCACCAAATGCAAAGTGAACAGATTTAGTTTGGGAGTTGGTAGTGAAGAACTCTGGTTGTGAAGGAGACAGTACTTGGAGATGATGCATTACAGCAGAAAACGCCGCTGCTCTATGTAATGCCAAATGCCAGACTGAGCAGAATCAGAATTATACAGTACGTTTCCTGAGAGGCATCTCCTTACCCTGAATCTCCTGGAAATCTGACATGGGGGACTACCAACTCCATTTATATTAAGTTTGTTTTGGGGCTTTCCTACCACACAAGGAATTTAACTGGTAGGTGGGAATATTTATTCCACTACAGCTTACAGATATGTGCTGGAAAACCTATATAGTTCAACTACCGTATAATTCAAGGGGCTTTATCAGAGTATTATTCCAAAATAAACTCATCATAAAAGACATGCTGATCTGTTTTCCCATGTAGACAGGGTCTTAGAGAGGCAACATACTCAGAGGGAAGGTATGACAATATAAAGTGCAAGTAACTGTAATGTAATACTAACAATCCACAACTTAATTGTAAGAGGCCTACTTAAGACATTTTTTCAGATTTAATATTTGTGACAGTTAAGAGCAGGACAGACTTTAAATGAGATCATTAAGTCAGATTTGCTTCTCCCAGGGTCACAAGAATATCTGCTTGTACAACATACCATGAGAATCCCTTCCTTAACCTGACGAGCTCGATCATTCAGCTGGCATTCCAGTTCGGCCACTTCCCGGCGCACAGCTTGACGTAAGACCTGCAGTCGTCTTTTTTCCTCCCTATAGTAGACAGAGGAAGAGGAACAATCCACACTCAGGTGAATGGTGGCCCCTGGCAAGGTTTCAATTTCTTAGATGTGCTGTGTTTTATACACGGTACCAAAGAGTTTCACAAAATAATTCATTGGCATAACAGTCTCAACACCACGCAGTTCAGTTATTCACTACATTGTGTGGTGGAGACAAGAGCACTGTGAATATTAAGAATTAATATTCATGCTAAAACTGTAAACATTTTATCCTTTCCCTGCACTGATTCATAGCAAATAACTATCTTTCATCATTAATCATTTGATTTTGTAAGAACACAGTCTGGGGGACTAATTCTTACTGAAAACAAACAGCTTCAGAGTTCCTAGACTCTATAAGTGCAATGATGCATATTACCTTCCTTCGTCTGACATAGCACTTGAGAAGAGAGCCTGCTGCTCAATGAGCTGCTGTTCAATGTCATCTAGCTTCTCCCGGAAATGCTGGCATGAGCTTTTCATGGTTTCTATTTCATGGACTGTGCACTACACAGGAGAACAAAAAAGAGACACTAGTTCTTTCTCTTTAATACATATTAGAAGTGCCAGACTGACAGCTCAGGGGGTAATGGTTCTCTCATCAGCAAAACAAGGCCACCATGAGCAGCTGCCTTATAAGCTTGTCAGCAGACTTTCACTGGCCCACATCCTCAGAAACCAAGCATGATGATTCATGAAGGGTATAAATAACTCACATACTAATTGACTTGTTTTCTAATGTTACCCAGAAAGGAATCTAGACCCCAGTAAGGTCAACGGGAGTTTTGCCACTAGCTTTAGGATGGCTAGGAGTTCATCCAAGGTCTTGATACAGGGGATAAAATTCATATCTCAGTCACACTGGTGTAAAGCATTATAACAGGCTACAATGGAACTTTTTTTTCTGGATTGATACCACCATGAATGAAAGGCAAGCTGTTGGCCCATGGAAGTCAGAAACCTTTTGCATGCATTTTTATACAAAACCTAGGAAAAAAAAATAACTTATTGCAGTGTGACCTGCCTTGGTACAACAGACACTTGCAGATGTGAAGGCCCAGCCAACCCCTACCAGTAAGGTCAAAAAGTGGGGCAAAAAGGAAGCTTACTGTAGATGACATCCTGATGAGCTGTAGAATAATATGAATGGATACAACAATGCAAGGAGCAGGAGCAGAGGGAGGGTGGGGAGAGAGAGAGAGAGAAAAAGGCTGGCACAACAGAACCATAAGCAGGAACTTAAGTTCTGGCAGGAAGAGACAGTGGAGAGTGGGGGTGACTGAGAACATCAGCACTTAAGTCTTGTCTCGGACGGCCAGAGCCGACTCGAGTTGAGTTAGAAATTGGTCGTACGTTAGGGCGGGCTGGTGAATGGAGAGGCAGACACAACTTATCGGTTGCAAAAACTTTACTCACGCCGCTTGCAATCACGATGCAGGTGGTCCGGTCGTCTGAACAACCACACGAGTTGTTCCAGCTGGCG